TTCATTATGCCCACTTTTGCCAGATACAGGTGATATATCTTCTGTATATGACTTTAGTTTTCTTTTTACTGGGCTCATTTTGGCCTTGGTTTTCATTTTGTTTAAATAATTCAGCAGTAGGATGTTGATATTGTTCCCTGTGTCAAGTTTTTAATGGTACTTTGATGCCTTGAATAGCAACTTCACTGTCCACTGTCATTTGGATGTTGCATATGCTTTCTATATACAAACATCTTCTCTTCTAGCAGACTCGTTTAAGCAGTGTACAGTTTTCTTTGTTCGGCATATGTTTTTAAAATGTCTAAACTTTTAAACACTTCCTACATGTCTCTTCTTTTGCCGAGCAAGCTCTGTCTATGTGGTGATATCCACATCTGCCATATTTTATGGACTCTGGTTTCTCTTTTCTTCCTTCGCATATATTTCCTGTGTCCGGTCGTATTTTTGTGTTTTGTGGATGGACTGTATCACACTTACTGAAAGTGTGTTAGAAAATTCTAGGCCACAACTTGCAGCTATCTCATCCTTTTTGCAGGCATCTACTCCTTTTTCCAGATTTGCATTGTCCAAGTCCATTAGTCTTTTTCTCATCACTCTGGATTCCCATACTGACAGTCATGTATGATACTGTCTTTTAAATGCTTGTACTCACATATTCCTGTTTCTGTATGTCTATGAGAAATGACAGGAAAGTTCCTGCTTCCTTCTGTGTTCTTGCAGTAAAACAACACCTTTCATGGGCTATATCTTTCTTGTCTTGTACATATACCTGGAATTTTCTCATTAATGCCTTATGACTTCCTTTTTCTGTGTCAGTGAATGTTGGGGAATTGTATACGTTGGTGGCCTTTTCTCCGGCCATGTGTAGGAATAAAGTGCATTTTATTCTGCCCAGCTTGGTCATTTTCTTTTTTTCTGATGCCATGAGGTACAATTCAAATTTCTGTAATCAGTTTTTGTAGTTTTCTTCAACGTTTCTTTTCTAAAACATCTGTGTGGGAGGTTGAATAATATCCGTTATCGGATGTGTGTTTTCATTTCTGGCACCATGTAATATTTCCAATTGAGGTGTTTTGGTATGAAAGACAAGAAGATCCGCTTGACAGGTGTTTAGTGCTAGTTCGCATGTTCAAAAGGTGTGTTCAGTGTCCGCCTCCCATGCTGAGCTCTCGTTTTTTATTTCACATCACGTTAGAATCACGTTCAGGAAAATCCTGTATCAAGAGACGTAACTCATGGTTACTTGTTTCTATACATATACTACAGTATTCATCAAAATTCTTAGTTAAATTTATATCTAATTCTCACTGCTTATTTAACAGTCATAGAAGAATGATTTGATTAATACAATAAAAAGCAACAGAAATATGAGAACTGTGGCAATAGAGGAGCAAACCAAGTCTTATTCTGAAAAAGAATTTGCATTGTATGTGCTGTCAAAGATCGGGTCGCCTTTAGTAGGCCTTAAAATATGGTAATTGTTTTTACTTCCCAACTAGTCTTAATCAATCAAAACCTTTCTTATCCCAATAAAAGAACTCTTCTTAAATGAACAGTGGCTTGAATTGCAGAATCAGAGAACCAAGTTTGAATTGCAATTTGAATCCATTACATTCACTTAGGTGCTGATACCTTTGGGAAAGGAATGAATCCTCTTCTTCCTTCAGCTATCGGTAAATAGCAGGACAGCCCAAGTTCTATAGCCTTGGATGGCAACTGGTCTACCGCAGAAAGAAATGGCAACCTACTGCAGGAAAAAAACCTGCCTCATCAGTCATGTATTGAAAGATACATGATCACTTAAACGTGTATCACGCATGGCACATAACTGACTGACTGACTTTCCAGTCAAATCTATTACATTCACTTATGTGCTAATACCCTTGGTAAAAGTATGAATCCTCTTCTTCTCCTCCAGCTATGGGTAAATAGCAGGACAGAGTGGGTTCTATAGCCTTGGATGTCAACTGGTCTGCTGCAAAAAGAAATGGCAACCTACTGTAGAGAAAAAAAATTCTGCCTCATCCGTCATGTGTTGAAAGATACATGATCAGCTAAGTTTGTACCACGCATGGCACATAACTGACAAACTGACTGACCTTTGGATCATGTGATTGCTTTGCTCTTCTTGGGTGAAGAATATGATTGTGAGTTGTGAAGTGTATTTATTACTCTTCTGATTAACACCAATGGTATTTTCTGATGTTGTTTGAGCATTAGAATTACACTCTCAGACTCTGTATTTTTTTTTTTTTTTAAGATCTAAATCTCCCTAAAGCTATTTACCTGAGGCAAAAATTAATAATGACTGTTAATGTTTTAAGAAATTTGAATATTATTACTGATACAAAATGTGGAATAAAAAATGAGAAATAAGAAATATGAGATATAAATTAAAATACTTAGACTTATTACCAATCTTAATAAAAAGCAAATGAAATAGGATTTTTAAAAAATGTAAGTAAAAAAATGAATCAATGCAATCCTTCAAATTGAAACCCTCAATCACTTAAAAAATGTAAATTCATTATTAATTCTGCAGTTTTATTGTTTTGTTTTTTTTAAGCGTTTCACCCCAAGCAAGCCACTAGGACACAAGGGGTTACAGAAAATTTAGAGCAAGATCAGATAGGAGTGATAGAGGAAAGGATGAGGAGAAGGGTAGTGGATAGATCAAGGCAACTGGAGATGTCGATTGATATTACATTTGAATAGCTGGAGATTATAGCTCTCAGGGAAACTGGAATAGGGAAGGGAGTTCCACAGGCGAGATGTGCGAGACATGAAGCTATTGGAGTAGAAGAGACGGCTACATTTAGGAGTTTCAACAGTGAAGGGGTGAGAGCGGGATGCCAGCCTCATCAGGCGCTTGAACTCATGAAGTCTGGGAACCAGCGAATGCAGCTCCTCGGAGCAATTGCCATGAAAGTATTTGTAAAACAGAGAGAGGCGACGGCGCCTCTGTGAGAAAGTGTCTGTAGACAAGATGCCAGATCAGGGCCAATTATATTGCATATCAGCCTCTGGAGCCTATCAAGAACCCCGAGGCAAACAGAAGGGGCTCCAGACCATATATGGCAGCAATAATCCATGCAAGGGCGAATTGTTGATTTGTAGATCTGGAGGATCGATTCCAGGGAGAAAAATTTCCTTGCGAATTCAATTATAGCTTGCTGGTATTCTGTGTAAGATTTAATTAATTTTTATAGGATTTTATGAAGATTTAAATTGCCCTTATTTTAATTTTTAGCTTTTGATTTTGCATAGGTTTTCTTATCCGAAAGTAACATTGTCATGGTATATGTTCATGTTTATAATTGCTCTGACTCCACTTTTATCAGACAGTGAGATGATGATTTTGTTATTGTTGATGTATTTCGACTATTTATGTATCTTTTTGGAAGATGAATTTCATTGTTTTTTGTTTCATTTTGGCTGAATGTAGTAAATCTGGCATCAACTTGGCTACACACTGACCTCGTATTTTAAATTTAACAAGAATTATTCCAAACAAAAGTTTGGACTCCCTTTTGGTGGGATCTGTGGAAATTTCTCGAAATTTTTTTATAAACAAGCATGTTTCAATACATCCTTCCAAAAAACTCATTATTTAGCGTGCGATGGATAAATTGTCATCTAAATTACTCAAAAAGTAAAATAACACTGACACCTCATTTTAACAGATATATTTACCAAAATTACACAAAAATATCTTGAAATACTAAAGAGTAAATTTATTCAATGAAATCACCATTGGCTTCAACTACAGCCTCCAGACAACTTCAGAATCTCCTACAACTCTTCTGGATGGTCTCCTTGTTTAAGTTGGTAAGTTCTGCTATAATCCTTGCCTTCAGTTCATCTTTGGTGTTACAAAGAGTTTTGTTGGTCTCTCATTCAACTGCACCCCACACATAATAATCAAAGGGGTTAGAGCCTGAGGATTTAGGTGGCCAAATGTAAGAGGTGATGTGGTCACCGAAATTGTCTGCCAGCCATAACTGGTTGCGTGACATGGTGCAGATTCTTGTTGTAGACATAGGGCCTTTTAGTAGCCACTCCTTTGACCCAGGGCAGCACTACCTCCTCAAGGCCCTTGATGTAGATCTCAGTGTTGAGTCTGAGGCCCTGTGGGAAGATTAATGGAGACATAACATTGCAATCACTAGTGATGCCTCCAAACACCATGATGCTGGCTGGATATTTGGTTTTCATCACTCTTAGTACATCTTTTGGGAACACAGCATGCCAATGGTTGTTCTCTATGTTCATCTTATCCTGACACATGGCACAGTGGACAAAGGTGTTAGTTAGATCCAGTGACAGGACCCAAAGAGTGTGAGTTCAATACCTGGTTAAGGCAGTGGAGAACTTGGAGAGGGGAATTAACAAGGGATAACTGACAACTGACAACTGACATCCATTAAACATGGCACGTGGAACTAGAACAGTCTACCCCAGTGAGCGAAATAAAGGGTTTAGTTCATTCGACATTCCAACCACCTGATGAAGTCTGGAGTGTACAACGGCCGAAATATAATAAATATGGCGACGAAAATAAGGACAATAGTCCGAATAATGTAAATAGTGTACATAATACCTCATCTCAGAAATATAGACAAATACAGAGAATTTTCTAATCTGAAACATGTTCAATTGGAGGGGATGTTTGAGTTTGTTCAAAACCTAAATAGCACGGTCTTTCCTCTTGTCCTTCATGGCTTGGGATAAAAATTGGCCCTTTCTCATCTTGTATGAGAAATACTGGATCTTTATGAACTATCTCAGACACTACTGTGTCCCTGGCTATGGACCTGATTGACTTTGAGGTATTATTGTCAATCATGGCCTGGATCTAACCAGCAATTTTGGGAATTCTTTTCTTACCAGAATGATGAGTTTGTTTTCCAAGCTGCTGTACCTTTGTAATCAACATTAGACTCATTCAACTTTTTCTAAATCTTATGCCCTATCCTCAGATGGACACCCAAATACTCTGAAATGTTTGTATTGAAGATTCTGGTGTGAATGCCAAGCAGTACAGCATGCCGTTTCCAAATTTCTGTGAGAGTGAATTGTGTCATGGTGTTCTTTTTATCACACTGTGCCCAACTGACCCTATTATACTGTGCAATTGATAAAATCAAAAACAAAATGCCCAGTTGTGAAATTAAGAATATAAAATGGCAACAATTTACCCAATGCACTCTGTACATCAGATATGTTCAGTACATCTTGGTTATTTACCTCCAAAAATATTGATATAAATATATATTGTTTAATAAACTCAATCAGGTTTGAATCAACTGTTGAGTTTATCTTTGAGATAGAAAATATACCTATTTTCTGAAAATTTTATAAATTAAATCCAATAAAGAAATCAGAATTCAAAATCAATAAACAAAAATTATTACATATATTTTTACTTAGCCCACAGT